ATTATTTTACCTGTTCAATTTGCTCTGGCTGAATCTTTCTTGTTTTAATTTTATCAATTTTATTGGCCGCAATAACAATTACTATGGAGTCCGCATGTTCAATAGTCTAGAATCCAAAGAAAACATCTATGTCAATTTTAAAATTTTGATTTAAATATACTCAAATCATGATTTCTTTCAGTTATATATTAGCTTAAGCACTTACATTTTGAATAACTGACATCCAGTTTTGCACGTGCATATAGCTGTCTTCTTCACATACATCAAATACAACTATAATTCCCTACGAAGTTGTTCAAGACACATTGATTCATATTGATTCATGTATAAAATACTTTTTATTTGAAGGAATAAAAGCTGCAAATGGTCAATATAGACCAATTATTAATAAACTTGCTGCATTTATAACTAGGTCACAAAATAATCACAACAAACACTTGCTGAACATATAACATGTCAGTACACAACAATTTTCACCACAAGGTTTTTTAAGGTGAAAGCAAAAGACAATGGCAAAATCCTCACAGAGAAGGAATGACTATAAAATGGAACTTGGACCACTAACACACAGGCAGCCCATCAATGTTATGGAATCTTGTTTGAAATGCACCAATAGAGTACAAACACTAAAACTGTGAAACATAAATACCACTAAATACTGCTAAATTATGCTAATTCTATTGTTTTCTATTGTTAACACTATTTTGTAGTAAATAGTGGAAAGTATTGCACACATTTAATGTTTGTACTCTAAAATTATACCTGTACATCTTTTATTGAGTAAGCTGCTATTGTTCTGTAATCTCCATCACCTGCAGTATCCCTAATGAAAAAGAAGAATTAACTTCAGATTAACAAACTGGCCCTAATTGGCTGATCTATAAATTTTAAATTATATCAAACTTAAGTAATGTTTGTCTTGGCCCCTTTGTACCTAAACACTGTTTAGCACAAGTTAAGAAGTATACAGCAATCATATAACTTAATACATTATAGGGAGGGGATGGGGATTTACATGGACCTTTGATTCAATAAAAACATGATGCATTATTTCAAGCTGACTAAGTAAATGGTAGACAAACTACTTACCAAATCTGCAGTTTTTGTGGTCTTTCGCCAGTTACTTCAACATACTTTGACTTTATCACTCTCTCTGGACAAAAATGATGATCGAGAAACAACTTATTAGTCAGAGAAACAAATTTTAAGTGGAATTTGGAATCTACGTAACTGAGTTCAAAGACCATTTTCTATCGGCCCTCGACTTAACTTACCTTTCGTTTGAACGTACAATGGACTAAAGCTGTCTCCCAGAAGACGCGAGAGTATCGTTGATTTTCCTACTTTACTATCCCCAACTAAGGCCACTTTTAAGCCATTGGAAGATGGATTTTGAGGCATTACTTTTTCAAAACCTCAAAATTTCCGTAAGTTCCGCAAGTTATTCTGAGAAATATTAAAACGGCCTAATGGGCCACAGGCAGCCCACCCAGTAAATCTTTCTATAAATATTTTTCAGCCCTTTTTACATATAAAAAATAATAATAATAACATAATCCAACAATAAATTGATGAATAAAAGCAAATCAAAAACGAAAATATTGGAATATTTGCTAGAAAGAAATCCTCGCGCGCACTCGCTAACTGTGAAAGTGCGGACTACCTGTGGTATAATTATAGATTTTTCTTCTTCGGTGCATTTCACTATGGCGATTACTCTAATCGGTTTAATTTTGATCAGTACTCACTTACTAATGTATTCAGGACTTTTTACTGCTTATAAAGGAGGAGGAGTGAAGAGAGGGGGACTCTACCCATCCCTCCCCCCTTGCCAGTCCYCCTCTCCTGGAGCAAGCGTGGCCTGCGTAAAAAAAAATCTAGAAAGTGAAGCATTGTCAGGTACACGGCGGCTTACATTCATTACTATGGCTGCAGTTATCTTTCTAATTTGGTGTATTGTATCATGTGCTCTATGTTGGATCCTGACCAAGGGATTTTCTAAAAGACCTAAGATATCTAACGTGAAGGATAAGTTTGTTCTAATAACAGGATGTGATTCGGGTTTCGGAAAAGAAACAGCGACCAGATTGGAGACGATCGGTTTTAACGTAATAGCTTGTTGTTTGACCAAAGAAGGCCAACACGACTTGCTCAAGAACAGCAAGGGACGCATAACACCCGTTTGTATGAATGTCACGAAAAGCGAGGAAATTAAGCAAGTGTATGAACAAGTCAAGGGCATTATTCCTAAAGACTTGGGTAAGTAGCAATATTCCAGTTTCGACCGGCTCCGCGGAGCCGGGGGAGCTTGGGGGGCTTAGCCCTTCCAATMATTTGGCTGCCATTTTGAAGTGACATTCGTCTAATTAATCTGGGCCAATTTTGCGCTTCTCGAACGTTGTCGTCGCCTCGCGATTTAGCCGCTCAATAAAAATTATATTCACCTTGGTCACCTTGGGATGAATTATTAATGAATTTGATAAGTACACAAAGTGTCTGAATTACAATAAATTTTCTGCTGAATAAGATCTGTTAGCCTGCGTAGCCGCTCTAAAGAG